TAGAGTGCAGCCATCGATTGGAATCAACGCCACGCCCAATCTGAATCGTGAATGCAGTCACGAGTGCAACTCCGAATCTTTAGTGCGTGTCTGTCGGACTTTGGGTTATCCGAAGTTTAGAGCTCGGCGTTGCCTTATTGGTGTCATGCTTTGATAACTCTGCGCCTCGGTTGCTCGAGCTGCATGAAGCCAAGCTTGGAGCTCAACTGATTGTCCGTATATGTATCATGCGAACGCTGCAACTGTATTTGAACTTGTTGCACGCCTTCACGATTGATCTGCATCAAGATCTGAAATATTAAAAATTCCGATCACGTGGCAGGTTTGACCTCTGTGGTCACGAGTGGTGAGTCTGAATTGAATGCAACGTACTCACAAACCCGACTGCGATTCAGGATTCAATCGACTCAAATTGCTGCGCCGGCTTGCTGTTACGGCCGCAACAAGTAACACGTGACTTGAGCTTCTGGAGTTTTCTGCGTGCATGATTTTGATTCGTGATTCGGAACTGAGAGCGGGCGTGCGTAAGGTCAGGTCCAGTCGAGGCGAACGAACCCTTTGGATGGCAATGCCGCCCACACTGGCATTGGTAAGATGCTATTAGTTAGGCCTTCACTCTCGTCGCCTGCCTTCTTCGTTAGTCTACGCCATCGACACCCTAGGCTGGCCCTTCTCCTTCTCACATGAATCAACGTCTTGGTCACTGCTAGCGACATGTTCTCACATCGGACGAGCGCTGGAGCTCTGCGCGGTCTGGCTAGACCGCAAGCCAGATGTCCCCGGTGGCAATGCAGCTCATCAAGCAGGGCTTCATTCGCATCATCTAGTACAGCACACGCACAATCCAGCCACTCCTTTGCCACCGCGGGCACTCGCCAGCGTCTGGCATGGGGAGCGGGTCTAGCTGGGATAGGCGCAAGCCTGTATGGATACAATCTCCATCTCTCCTCCAGTCATTCCAACGCGCTCTCTTTGGACTCGGATTCCTTGCCTAACACGGCTCCCTTGGCTGCCAAGAGAGCGAGTTACTCGGACAGGATCAAGGCGCACAAGGGTGGACCGATCGAGATCATCAGGGCTCGGGAAAGGCAGGAGGATATTGAGCAAGAACACGACGTCGAAAACTCCGCCGAGAGCCACAGTGGTGAGTTAGCAGTGCTCGGACCGCACCGTTCGTCTACAACAGAGTCAGCTTCGCTTCTGTCACCTCACAAGGAGCACGCAATTGACGGGACGCATGCCATTCCGCTCACAGCCAACTTTGCCAATCTGGAAGAGGAGGCGGCTGCAGAATCGGGTCAGGAAGGAGCTTTCGATCCGGTCACGGGCAAGCTGAATTGGGACTGCCCTTGCTTGGGAGGCATGGCTTATGGCCCGTGCGGAGAGCAAGTGAGTCATGCACGATTTCATATCCATTCCTGAGATTCGGTGGCTGACATTGCGGGGTGTCGCATATCTCCAGTTCAAGAAGTCGTTCTCGTGCTTCGTCTTCTCTGAGACAGAACCGAAAGGCAAAGACTGCATCGAGTGAGTGTTGCCCGAGTGCACTTCAAGAAGCGTCGGTCGCACGCTTAGAGACGATTGCTTTTTTTTCTTCGGCGTGATCAGCTCGTTCGTCGAGATGCAAGCTTGCTTCCGCGAACATCCAGAGGTGTATGCTGAAGAGTTGAAGGATGACGAGTGGGATGAGGCGCAGGAAGCGAGCGGGGCTGCGGGAGGGGGTGCGGGTGCGGGTGCGGTCTTAGATAATGACTCTGGAACGGCCGAGGGAGCTTCGGCTACGGCATGAGTCTGGCCCGCTGCTCACGCCAAAAGCCTGTCGACCTTCACACCACCTCTCAATTGTGAATGCCACGTCGTACGCAAAAGTCATCATGGCCTTGCGCAAGCGCGACCCAAACACTTTCGGACGGGCACGTAGCGATGTGCTCGAGCGAGGAAGTCACATTGAGAGTCACCTGTGACGAAAAGCATGCGCACAGCGATCTGCGGAGAGGGTCGAAGAGCACGCAGGCCAAAGGTATCGGAGACTGCTGTACCTCGCTTTCAACGACTGCAGCTGCAGCGATTGACGCAGGTAAGGTCACTGCTAGCTGCCCGAAAGCGCTTCAAACGAGTCGACGAGAGCGAAGAACCAGCGGGTGGCAACAGATTAGGGATTCAATTCGGATGACGGTGGTGTTTCGCAGAATGCAATATGATTATACAAGATGGAAGGGACAGCTCAGTAGAATGCGTAAAGATGTCGCGGGCTCGGCGGGCTGCGATATGTACCTCACATTACCGGGCGTATTGGGGCGCGGGAAATCTCGCGAGTCCTCGGGTATTGCTGCCTCGTCGAGGCCATCACGTTCGACATGAATCACGTAAATCAGAGGTCCATGATGGCAGAGCAGCCGGCGATGACGAGGTCTGCGATACGTTGCAGCGCTTCTGGCTGTTCGTGTCGGCCTTCGTTGGTGCCTACCAACTCATCTGCGCAGCCCTCGCAGCCTCCAGGAATCGGTCCCTCGGTCAGACCAAGAGCGGCCCAACCTTCGGGAACAAACTCGACACTGCGTCGAGCATCGCACAGCGCGAGTACGAGCGGAAAGGTGAAAGGCTCCGGCAAGTCAGGCACGGGCTCCTTTCCAAAGGCATCATCCGAGCCTGGCAAGACGAGCGCCGTAACGCGGAAGGGACCAACGGTAGGTGAACGACGTCGAGGCTGCAGAGTCGCAGGTTTGGCTTTCTCTGGAGACGACCATTCGGCGGTGCTGGCAGAGTCCTTTTCGCTCATGGAGACGTGCTCTGAGGCGTGATGGCCAAGTGCAGATGCCAGCTTGCGATACCACGCTGGATGGTGCGAGTCCGAGCCTAGGCTAGCGGCAGGAAGTTGCAGAGGTGGGGTAGATGCACCGCGAGGTTCGCGTTGTGAAGAGGAGAAGGCATTGACAGGGCTCGCACCTAGCATATTCGCATCGAAGGATACGTAAGCGATTCGCAGATACCTTCTAGGACGTGCAATCTGCTTTTCTGCGTCCATCGCGGAGAATAACGGTATGATCATGATCAAAGAAGCTGCTTGAGATGCATCCGCGTCAGTTCCTAGCAATGCGTTGTTCAGCGCCCAGCTCGAAGCGACGAATCCATTATCTCCCGACACAAAGGGATCGTTCGAAGAGTACTGCGCCTCTGATGTTGGGCTTCTGGACGAGGCTGATTCTTGCGCGAGCACTTCAGCAAGCAGCGAGAAGTCTTCAGATGTAGGCGTAGACTTTGCAGTCCGGCTGATCATTCCCGAAGCGATCGAGCGAGGTCGCCTGAGTGTTTTGTGCCGGCTGTGACTCGGACCCATTGTATCAGCTGTGCCGGCACCTTCCGTCGTCAGGGTTGTAGCTTTGCTTGATGATGCATTGAGCGGCGAGCCTCGCAATGGAGCTTTGACGGAGAGATTCCCAAGCGCGACGTCTTCAGATGTGCTGCGGACCCTGTGCAGGCTGTCTCTTCCAGCCTGCACGCCGGTCATCGCCGCGTAGCCAGAGTCATTGTCCAACTGCTGGGTCGTCAGCGCCTTGCGGAGAGGCTCCCCTCGCATGTAGACATGATGCTTCTTCAAGTCTCGCGCAGATTTGTCATTGCTGCCAAGAAAATCAAAGTTTTGCTGAATCGGCTCGTTTCGCTTCGAGGGAGGAGCTGCCATCGATCTCGCGGAAGAACGCGTAGGTATGCGTGGTGCTTCGCTGCTCATCCGCGTCGCATCGAGAGGCGTGCCAGAATCTGAAGAGATTGATGCTGAAAGGAGCCCCGAGTCCTTTGTGACACTCAAGGACTCGGCATCCATCTCGTTCACTGAAGGTGCACCGCTGTAACCCGCGGGCGACGAGCCAGATCCAGGAACTCGTCGTTTCCTGAACCAGTCGGCGAGTCGCTTGTCGGCGCCGCGGGACTTGCGCTCCGAAGCATGCACATTCATAGGTGTGCTCACCGGAGGTTGGATCAGGGCATTGCGAGCTTCTGCTGACGAGTACGTCAAGGAGGTCCGGGGCGAGTAATCATGGAGATCATCGAAGTTTGGTGGCATGAGCGTGTCAGTGCGCGTGATCGACGCAGCACCAGCAGACGGCTGCGCGACACCAAACTTGTAGTTGGAGAAACGAGCAGTCATGTCCTTCGAGGGCGGGTAACCCTCTGAGCTATGATGATCGAGAGAGTCTACTGGAGCGAAAGCACTAGCTGGCGTGCTGTGGCGTGTTGGGCTAGCCGCGCCCTCAATCTGTGGCGTGGGGGTCGCTGCATGCGACGTGGCTCCCAGAGGTAACGCTTCCGTCGAAAAGCTTTTACCGAGTGATGGTCGCCTGGCTTCGACCAAAGGGAGCGGGTCGTGTCTGATAGAGGCTAGGCGTCGCTCGGCGAGGGTCGACGAGGTGAGAGGCTTCCGAGTCTGCTCTGCTGACAGTCCTCGGTCTGTCAGGAGACTTCGATATACCAAAGGACTCGCAAGAATAGTGGTGTGCTCCGAAAGAGTCGCGAAGGGCGAGCCCATCGGACGCAAAGGACGAAGCTCGAAGATCGGAGGCGCTGTAGGGGTGGCTTGAAAGGCCGATCCAGAACTTTGACTGCCGACAAAGTTTTCTGCGCGAGAGCCAGGAACGTGGTCGGAGACGACGAATGCTCGGGAAGCTCGCAGCTGTTGGCTTGCATCATCGTCCGTACCCAGCGGAGCGACTATCCACTTACGCGCCCTTGTGGTGGCTCGTGCAACTGACCAGCCTTTCGATTGTGTTGCTGAGCTGCTCATTCGGGTGCCGATCCAATCGGAGGCGCTGCCGATATTGATACTGTGCTGGCCCATCTCCTCGATCGTCAAGAGGTCCAGAGTTTCACTGGCATCGTATCTCGAAGGGGTGAGCGTGGCGCATCGCAGTGCGCTGCTCGTGAAGGCTTGCGCTTCCAACGCAGGCGTGCTAGAAGCTGACGAAGCACCTTGCATGGAGGAACCTTTGGTGCTGGTCACTGAGCGAGCTACTCCCATCGGTAAGCCCAAGCTCGCAAATCCACCCAACACTTGTTCGTGATCCGCAGGGGACGACTGCCACGCTCGCTGGCTGATCGAGGGAACAAGCCCGGCGCCAGGTCCAGCATCAATCCCAAGGCCATCGGCATGCTGTCCATTTTCAAGCAAACGCTCACGCGTCTGTGCGTCGAGGATGGTCTCGGCGTTGTGGATGGGATGAGCGTGAACGCAGTCATGCCTCAAGTGAGCCGCAAATGTATCTTCCGAGTCGTGGCGCTCCTCGCAATCAAACATGTGTCTCCATTGTCTCCCTGCAGGCGGCGATTGACTGAGGTCATTCGGGGAGCGGTCGCCGCATTCGGTGATTGATGCAGACGCGTCCTCGTACTTGGGTGCGGGTAGCGTCCAAGCAGCGCTTTCGAGCGCGACGTAGCCAGAAGATGAGGCCACACTGCTACCTTCCACTCGCTCACCGCCTAGATCCAGCCCATCAACATCAAGCCGTAGAGTCTGAGCTGAGCCCCTGCGCAGCTCCGTCAGAGGAGGGGCTTCGCTTTTCCTGCTTCCACCATGTGAAGCAGCAGTCATCGCGACACCTTCGCGGTGCAAGTGCATGTAGGCTGCGAAGTGTTGGCGAGGTGAAGGTGCAAGATCGTCGAGCACTAGATCCTCCTCGCATTGAGCAAGCCGATGCTGAGTCCCAACCGCGCAACCCACTCTAAACGCTTCTGGCGGAAGTTCTGATGCAGCTCTAGCGCGCGAAATGGAAGACGATGAGAAGGCCTTGGGTGTAGAGGCCGTCGGAGATCGAGTTGACGACCTGTTTGGTGGGCTCGAAGGTGACCGAGGCCAGCGCCTCGACACGCGCTTCCGCGCGGGCTCAAAGATCAGCGAGTCTGTGATCAACATGACAAATTTGGGGTAGCATACGAAAAGGATGGATGGAGGCGTAAAGGTCAGCCGGAAGCTCGGTGATGAAGCATCATTATGACCGAAAAAGAATTGAGCTCGAGAACAAGAGGCGCTTGCGGCGTAATGTCTCACAGATAGCCCAAGATATCGGAACGACGGGTGACGCACCTTTGACAAGTACGGAATCTAGTTGCAAGGTGGTTGGTGATGCGATTGTGCAGATGGGGTGCTATAGATGCTATGAGGCAAGGACGTGAATCAGCGGACGCTGCTGAGAAACCAATGGAGTGGATCCTGTTGTGTGCGATGTCATGCCTGCGCTCCAATGTCCGACATGCTGCTCCCGGATGAGAGTCACAAGGCAAGTCAACACCGGCTCGAGGTCCGCGACGACTGAAGAATGAGAGACCAGTCGATCGCCTGGTTGCTGCCGCAGTGATAACGCCAGGCGAAGTTGCGTGGATCGAGCGAGTACTGGCGCAGTGCTAATGGAAACCCAGCTGCGATGAGCTGGCTTTCAACGGGCCAGGGAAAGAGTGGGAGTGGTGATCGAGGTGGACTTTTCGCTCGTGGCCTGCAACTATGTCAAAGGAGTCACAGTGGACTGACTAGCTTGCAGTTGAGGAGCGGCGGTTGTGAAGGCTGAGCTGCGCGCGATCACAACGGTGCGCCAGTCGCGAGCCAAACCTGAGGCTGAGTGTGATCGAGTGGACATGACTGAACAACGACCTGCCTCGTTCTGCGGCATGCCATTTTCGTACCATTCAGTCAAGAGTATACCGGTACACACACGCGGCCAATGCGTGTCTCGCGTCATGGACGTGTGGCTTGGCAGAGCGCCGACCGCATCTCTTTTGTCCCAGAGGGGAGGGCGAACGCGGGCAGGCGGACGAAAGGCGACCCGGCGAAAGGGCAGCACCTCGTCGGCATCCTAGCTTAGCATGATGCTGCCATGGAGACAAAGGCTCGCTCGCGCTTAAGGCCGTATCTACATGCATGTACGCCGGCCATGACTCGCGCGGGGCAGCCGCGACCAGCACAACGAAGCCACGCACGGCGCGACGAGATCCGTTCTATTCGAGGGAAAGCGCGGCCGGCATGCAGCGCAGGCATGCGAGAGCTCGCCGTGGCACAGCCGTG